GAGCAGGCGCCGCAGAAGCCCCCTGCCTTTCCCTCGTCTTTCATTCTTATCGGTCCCCACGCCCTCTGAGCGTCACTTGCTCATCCATGTGTGCCAAGGAGCGTGAGCCCACATGGAACAGGGGAGCTGACCAGATAAAGTAGGAATTTAGGGTGCCCACGGTACTCACCGCGGGCACCCTACGCTATTTCCGCCGAAAGAGAAATATTCGAATACATTTCAGGTGGTAGGGCCACCACTCATTTTTTGAATAACTTACTATTTATGCATTTTCTTTAGAACTAGACCAGGAATGCTTTATTGCCACCAAATAATCATATGGAACTCAATTTCTTTAATTGTGGAGCAAAAATCTGGTATTGTGTTCATATCCCATGTAAATAACACTTCAAAATCGGATTTGATAGCTGATTCTTACGACAGATTTTTAAACGTCTTCAACTTGCTCTTGCAGTATTTGTAGGATACATATGAAAAAGCTTGAACTCTTCAAGGAAAAAGAAATTGGACATAAGTTCTTAAGCAGCCTACAAGATGTTGATTTTGTAGTGTTAGCTCAGAAGATGATGGTGGATCCTGATGGAGTAAATACCGTAATAGGCATGAAACGATGCTCCAATGGCGAGGTAGAAAAGTAGTACAAAAATAAATAAATACTGTTCCAAATTGCATAGGTGTTGCTTTAAACAAAGCTACTAAGAAATAATGAAATATTATAAAGCTTCTCTATAATATAAAGCATATAGCAATGAATGTAAATGTTTATATCTACTACTAAGAGGAAAAGAAAAAATTAAAGCCTTATAATTATGTTTAAGACAAAACACTAAGCTCTTTACTTATTCAAAAAAATACCATAATAAAACTGAGAGCTAGGTTCTCTTGATTTTGGTGGAAAGGACCTTGTTTTTCTGGGCATGACCTCTTAAGAGACTGGCTTACTGACTGGATAATGCTGTTTGCTTCTTCAAGAATTTACAAGTGTATGTGTTATTTTGACCAAAAATTAGGTGGTTTATTTAATATTTGTACTGCCAGATATTTTGTCTTTGGTAAGATACGAGTTAAGACATTTTAGTGTGAAGTGAATAAAAATTCGTTGGGAAGCAGAGTGCCATCTTTGGGGTTTGACGCTCTGGCTTTGAATTCCACTGTGCCTTCTAATACCAGTGTGACCACGGGCCATTCGCTTGTGCCCTCTGGGCCGGGGTTTTCTTCTCTATGACATGAAAATAACATGTTTTTTGAATGGGTTGGCATGAGAATTTAATGAGTCAATATGTGTAAAGTGCTTGGTGAGTAATAGGTGTTTATATATTTATATCTTGGTGTTGTGAATAGTCAAATTAACTGGAAAGTTAAATACTAAAAATAACTAGAAGCCATCAAGAAATTTACTGATAAGGCTGAAAAATATAGTGAAGGGAAGATTTGGCATTCCTAAGTTTGTATTTTAATAGATAAATATTTTCAGGAAAAATATTTTAGCAACATGAATATTTTTATGTGAAAATAATATTTTTATGTGTGTGATTCTTATGTTTCTAAACTATGAATTCTTTCTGTTTCTCACACATAATCTAGTTTATTATCAGAACTATTCGCTTAAAATCTGTTGTGATGTAATAAGAGACTTTGATTACAGAAGCCGTAAAAGTAGATGGACTCATAAATAACTTGCCACAATTATTAAAAAATCAAGTTGGAGTCAAAAAGCAACCTAACTATGTTTATTTTTTTCCCTGTAGATGAATCGTTAAAAAATTTAAAGCTATTATCTCTTAGTGCTTAAAACAATCACTGTTCAGTCTTGATAAACATGGACCATTTTGCATGATTTCTCTTCATTCTCCATCGGTTTTATGGATGACAATAGTTTCTGAACAGTTGTGGACACCAGCATTTAAATACTCCATTATACCCTGTGAGTTCAATATACATAAAATATAAACATACTTAATGCTCTATTTAAAAGGTTTCATGTAATAAACCCTATTATCCACAATTATGCTACTTTGGGTATTATCAATACTAGTTGCAAAAACCTGTGAGAGGGGAGATACCACAGTCCCCTCCTGTAATCAGCACTTCCATTGGTTAAATTTGTCCAAATACTGAGTGGCACTGCTTAATACAGCAGGTTATGACAATTTCTTGAGATAAAGAATCCTTGTTTTCCAGTTAAGAGATGCATAGAGCTATAGGACAAATTTATGGTACCCTTAATTTGCTTATTTACTGATGTATGGGTTCAAATTGTTCTGATTTTTTTAAGTGCAGTATGGATGTCTTTACTCTTTTAGTCCAATGTCCCAATTTGTTCACTTCCTTAAAAGTGTTTTCTTAACTTTCAGTGTATCTCTGATGTGTATATTGACTCAAGGGCTTTGTTGTTCAGGGAATGCTTTAAAGAAATATCCAGTTGAAGTGTAACTGCTGAGAAATATATCATTATTTATACACGCGGAAGCGCTTTTCTGTAAAAGGTGGTTTTGCAGACCTTAAATCTGATCAGTGGATATTCCAGAAACCAAGCAAATAGGGTTGTTTCCCTTTTTCTTATGGGATAGCGGTATCACTCATTTCCCTGCTGATGGTAAAATTAATTCGGAGTTCTGAGGTTCCTACCAATATTTTTCCTTAATGCTACCTTCGATTGAGGCTTCTTTGGTCATTTCCCAGACAGAGCAAAGCAGCTGCTGCATTTCTGAGTCGAGACAGAACCTCCTTAACCCTCTGCTACCCTTTCAGAAGTACGATGCTTGGCTTCTGCCACCTCTTAGAAACAGTGGTCATTACACAGCCAGAGAGCCAAAGGGTGGTCCTTGTTTTTGTGCGTGTAGACATGGCTTGCTGAGCAAAGAACAGTTGCAAAGCCAAGGCATAACATGCCCTTGACCCCTGTGCAGGTGTCCTTGGACATGTTTGATGTCAGGTGTTCTTAGAATAGATCTGTAGCAAGCTTTACTTGAATTTACCCCCGTCTAAAGAATACAACTTTCAAGTTACTTCCTTAGACCATGCCGATCAGTGAAACCGTATTTTCGTCAGCCCCATAATGCACAATGTTGCCACGAAGTTTAAGATGCTAAACATTGTGGGCTTAGACACTGACACGCTCGGGGGAGAAAAGGCCGAAGTGGCCGGTACAGACCTGCAGCTGGGCTTCCTGGAGACGGAGGCTCGGCTCGCTCGTCTGCCACTCGTAGGTGCCCCTGCCCGCGTGGCCGAACTTCCGCCAGCTGCTGCCCAGCGGGCCGCGCATGGTGTCCGCCCGCAGCCCGGGCTGAGCTGCTGCCTGGCGGGGATCCAGCGCGGTGTGCGCCCGCGGCCGCCGGGGAACTCGCTCCCTAGTGAGTGACAGCAGGGAGAAGGACCAACCGGAGGCCTCTCCGGGCTGATTGGATTTAAATTCAGCGCCTCTCGATTTGCTTCGGAGGCCTTTATCACTGAGGGTTGGCGTCAAATATCAGATGCAGAATAGATTTCACACAGGAGTCCTCTGCGCTCGTGTCCTAGCGCAACGAATGGTCTCAGGAATAAAGAACTGTTTCTGTTTAGAAGTAAATAAGCCCCTCTCCCTTCCCCTCCTACAGCCCTCTCCAGAGATACAGCTGAGCAAGAAAAACTACCCAAGCTGAATTTCCTTTCATTGTTTCTAGATAATATGTACAGAGGGAAGGGGTATTTGGTAGAGAAGCAAGGCTCATTAATAACATTTTAGTGAATTATTTAGATGAAAGATGCTAATGATAAAGTTGTACAGAAGCCAGACAGATAATAGCTCAGACTGACTGGAATGTTTGCTGGTTTCATTTTTTTTTAAAAAAAAATCAAATTACTGATACCTGAATAGTCTTCCGACTGATTGTCTTGTAAACTTTATGAAATTATTTCTATCAAGCTTAAAATAAGAAACTTTCCATCTGAAGGTTTGCCGAGGTGACTTTGGGATGTTTAATTCTACCTATTTGAAAGAATATTTAAGGCATGCTGGTTGGCTTCTCTTTCCTTTAGGAAAGTAAACCTAAGTTTCCAATCTTTACCCAAACTGCTACAATTCAGTGTTGCAGCCACCCACACCCTTATTTAGCATCACACCTTCCACGTGATTGTCCTGATGCTGCAATAATGTTTCTTAATTAGGATTCTCAGCCATTGTCCCATGGTGGTCTATGGATAGGTTTTGGGTGTGGCGAACTCTGAACTTTGCAGATACGTCCAACTTTCTTGGAAGGATCCATAGTGTTCATCACTTTTTCAAAAATAGCTGCTCTCCTCTGATACAATTTGGCACTTTGCCAAACTTCTTATTTATGACAAAAGTTTGTACTACGCTTCCCCTCCTTATTTACTTATTTAAATATCTTCAAATTGGAACTGTGGATCAGAAGCATTCAATATACATCTGTAATGTTGACTCTCCTATAGCACTGAACCAGTAAGACAAAAATTCTTGCTTTCATGCGTATGTTTTGGGGACCAAGAGAAACAAATTATACAAGTAAAAAATACAATATGTCAGAAGGTGATGAATGCTATAGAGAAAAGGCAGAGAAAGAGCAAAATAAATGCTAGAGGGAGGGGAGCACCTTCAGAGGGGGAAGTGAGTTAGCATCTCATAGGGAGTGAGCAAAGAAGATAGGAGGAGAGCACTGCAGACCAAGGGACCAGCCAGTGCAAAGGACCTGAGGCACGCACATGCCTGGTAAGCTCTCAAAATGGCTAGTAGGTCAGGGTGGCTGGAGCCGCGAACCAGGAAAACAGTAGACGATAGGAAGGTCAGAGAGGATATGTGGAGGGGCAGGGCAGCACGGAGCGCAAAGTTCATAGAATGTTGTGAAAAATTTGGCTTTTACTCCAAGTAAAATGGAGGAGCCGTGCGGAGTTTTGAGCAGAGGGGTGATGAGATCTGACTTCCACTTTAAAAGGATCACACAGGCCTCTGTGTTAAGTAGAAGTAGGGATTAAGGGCAAGCGCAGGGAGACCAGTTAGGGCTTTTAATAATTCAGGAGAGAAATAATGGACCCAGAGTAGCAGCAGTAGAGGTGGTGAGATTCTTGATTCTAGATATATTTTAGGGACAGAGCCAGGATTTCTTGATCCGAACATGGTGTAGGATGAAAAAAAAGATCAAGAAGGATTCTGTTTTAGGCTTGAGAAATCGGAAGGATAACTGTTGTCATTTGCAGAGAGGAGGAGAGACAGGAGTGGGCAAATTGTCTTATTTTTTAAAGTTTGGGAGCTGAGTTTCGGACCTGGCAAGTTTGCAATGAGTTTGGATATTTGAATGTGGCATTTAGGAGTAAGGGCTAGACCACAGAGAATAGTTTGAATTTGCTGGCAGAGAGATGGTATTTAAAACTATGAGATTTAGCCTGGCCAGTGCTGCTCAGTTAGTTGAGCACTGACTGTCCCATGCACCACAGGTCGGCAGTTCAATTCCAGGTCAGGGCACAAATCCAGGCTGCGGGCTCCATCCTCAGGGGCGCAGGAGGGAGTGGATTGATGTTTCTCTCTCATCGATGTTTCTGTCTCCCTCTCCTTTCTTCTCTCTCTATAATCAATTAAAACATATATTTTTAAAAACTACTAGATTTAATTTGCAACATCATGGATGGACATGCAGGGTACTGTGCTAAGTGAAATAAGTCAGACAGAGAAAGACAAATACCATATGACTTCGCTCATATGTGGAATCTAGAGAACAAAATAAATGAACAAACAAAACAGAAACAGACTCCTAGACGTAGAGAACAAATGGAGGGTTGCCAGATGGGAGCGGGTTCGGGGCTGGGTGAAAAAGGTGAAGGGATTGAGAAATACAAATTAGCAGTTATAAAATAGTCACAGGGATGTAAAGTACAGCATAGGGAATATAGTCAATAATTTTGCCATAACTATGGTGCCAGGTGGGTACTAGATTTATCAGGGGGATCACTTTGTAAATTATATAAATGTCTAACCACTATGCTGAACATTTGAAGCTAATATAAAATAATACTGAATGTCACCTGTAATGGAAAAATAGAAATAAAAAATAGAAAAGCTATGAGACTTAATGAGATCACCAAGAGAATGAACATCAATGGGATGGGGAGACAGAATGGAGAGCCAGTGAGGTAGACAAGAAACCAAGAGTGTGTGGTGTCTAGGGATTGAAGGGAAGAAATGTTTCTAGAAGGAGGGAATGATCTCTATCTCAAAAGCTACTGTGTGATCAAGTAAGATGATAAATGAGATTTACTACTGGATTTAGCAAAATGTGGGGAAGGGGTGACATTGATTATTTGGACAAGAGCAGTTTTGGTGGAGTGGATGGAAAAAAACCTTACTGGGATGGTTATAAGAGGAAAGGGTGAAGAATTGGAGATAGTGATTATGAACAATTCTTGAATTCTTTTGCTTGAAAGGGGTGCAAAGAAATGATGCAATAGCTGGACAGAGAAATGGAGTCACGAGTTATGTAGTAAAACAGTACGTTAGCAGGTTGTAGAGGAAAGAGAACATCAGTATGTCAACCCTCAGCAATTCCACTCCCAGGAATTCCTCCTGAGGAAATAATCTGATGAGTACTCAAAGATACATATTGTTGAAAGATGCTTTAGCACATTGTAAATGTCTATCATAACAAACAACTAGAAGTAAAAATATTCCACAAAATGATAATTACTTAATAAGTTAAGATATACACACATAAAGACATTATCATCTGAAAATAAATCTCAGAAGGTTGTAAACATACCACATATTAAGAGGAACTTGTCAGAAAACTGCATGTTTATTATGAATATTACAAATGTTTATGTCTCTGCATATAGAAGCAAATTGATCTTAACAATGGTATTTTTCCTAAGTGAGGGGATTATGAGTTGTTTTTATGGACTACAGTTCTTCTTTTTACTGATCAACATTTTATAATTGTTCTATGAATATGTGCCAGATAAACAAGACGTAATAATTTCCAAGAGTTGCCCATTCTTGAAGGCCCATGTAAAGTCCACGTTGTTATAATAATTCTGCCATTTCCTGATCACCACTAAAATTAGGAATGAATCACAATTTCCTCTGGATTCCTACAGCATGTTAGGTGTTCCAATATTATAGCACTTATTTGAGTCAGCTTTATATTATTTCAAAAACAGGTTGGGGGATGTTAGGTGACTTAAAAAAGGACCCACGAAGGAGTTGCATGTAATAATGATCTCTGGCCTGACTTTCAACATATTAGCATGCACTTAGCTTGTAGAGCCAACAGCCCGAATGTGCTTTAACTACTTACAGGAATGCTATAGTGTTTCAACTCTAAAAACTTATACCTGTGTAGATTTTAATAATCAAAATATTTTTAAAAGGCCTCCATCGTCTGTCTTCATCATTTCAATATTTTCCCCCACACTTCCTTTATTCCCATGGGCTTTTTAACTAAGAGTCTCCTGTTTAGGACTTTTAGAGCTTGATTTTAATTACAGACACTAACTACAATTAGTCTAAAAGTTTAATTAGCTTTCCCTAAAACTTCTCTGAGTATTTCAGAGCTGAGAGAAGAGGTTTTTCATGTTCTGCTTAATTCTTCTCTGCCTGTTGCTCTTTTAAAAATAAATATCAATGTGTCTTCACCCATTTGATTGCTGTTTTTTCTTACTTCCCTTGAACTCAACATTGTCAATTTGCTACTGTAATTTCAAGAATTACCAGACTTCTAGGTTTTCTGGTTCTGCTGGTTTTGGATCAGTTGGCCATAGGGGAGTTTTGTTTCTGTTGTGTTCAACATTTCATCTGAGTCAATAATGGAGAAAAGTCCCTGAAAACTAATGGTCGGGGAAGATCCAAATAAACTAAAGATGCTGGTAAAATATAATTATTTTCATATTTAATTTCTAAACCAGTAGATACATTTGAATTTTAGCAAACTGGTCAGTGTACTTTCTCAAGATGCTATTATAAGAATTAAATAAGCTTCTATTTGATTAGGATGACTGAAAAACTAATCAGTGGCCTGCAGGCAGCACTGTGACAGATCACTCAGCCTGAATCATAGCTCCTTAGAGACCAGGGGTTCATGGAAGGGTCAGCAGATCTGGCCTTAGTTTTTGCTCAACTTTGGTGCTGATAATCTGGAAACAAACAGACAAACAGTTTGACTAAATTCACTAGCAATATAGATGGAAAGAGGGAGATACCCCATAATGATTTTTTAAAAACCAAGCGAAAATAACAATAAATTAAAAATTATTGATATGAAGTTTACTTTGGAAAAATGTAAACACTTATGGAACTGGAGGTTTGAACAGAAAAGTTAAAAATAATTTATGGAGAATAAATCATTTCCATCACCCCACAAATTTC